TTCTATGCCTCAGGCCCTTTTTCGGCAGTAACCCTCCATCTAGGCCCAGGCGCTGGCTGACCGGACTGAGACTTGGCCACCTGGCCGAGGCCGGGCTGTAGGGCAGGTGGCTGGGACTCAGGCAGCACTCGCCGACCGTGGTCGAGGGAGCGTCCGTGGAGGCGCACCAGGCATGACAGCCCTGAAACAGCACCGCTCACGGGGGCAGCGAGCCGATACCTGCCAGCCCCTGAGTGTCCGCCTCAGAACCGGCCTGCGTGTGCACCTGGAACCGTTCTGGACGACCCGCCCGAGAGGTGACCCACACAGTGCTGTCTGCAGCAACAAGACACAGGCAGATGTCCCCCCAAGCTCACCTGCGGAAGGGGCAGCCGCCTCCCGCCCAGGGTCCTCCGGCCGTCCCAGCTTCCGACAGGACGCGGCCGGAGCCTCCAGGAGCACCAGAGCGCCCAGAGCAAGCGCTGCGTGTCCCTCTCGGTCCTTCCTTGCGTGCTCCCCAAACACTCAGCCCTCCATAAAATGCCCCAGAGAGCTCTCGGTCCCCCGGGCCTGTTCCTTCCGCAGGGTGCTGAAAAGGCAGGGCCGGCCCCAAAGCACCCCTCCCGTGGACACGGGCAGCTTGCTGGGCCGCGGCTGCTTGTGGACGCACTGGGCTGGCACCAGGGGCAGGCAGGGCCCCAGAGGCCACCAGAGTCTGGACAGAGCGGGCACACCCCCCGCCCACCGATGGGCTCTGCCGCCAGGGCTCCAGGAAGTGAGCCCACTTCTCCCAGAACAAGCTGAAGCCGGGCAGAGCGGCGGCACCCACACCTGAGGCCTGGATCCGGGCGGGCCGCGCGCCGCCTCCCTCTGAGTCTGCCGCCCCCTGTGAGGGGACAGTCTGAGCGCGTGACTTGCGCAGACTCCTAACGAGGCCACGATTCCCCTGCTCACCGGCGAAACTGTTAAATGCTGAGCCTCCCGCCTCCCCATCACCTCAGACACAGGGAGTGCGCGGAGACTTACTCCAGGCGCAAGCAGAGCCTGTGTTCAAAGCATAAAACCCGCTGTCGCTGTGGACCGAGTTCACGCCCCGATCCCGGGTGCGAGGGAGGAATCTGCCAGAGGCCTCCTGACCAGCCGGGGCAGCCTGAGAGCCCGGGTTTCCCTGGCAGCCGCGCTGCGCTGGCCCGGCAGCTTTCTCGCCTTTGGGGGAATTTCCACAAGGTTCTCCGACTCTCGGATGGACAGGCGGTCCCTCCCAGGACTGCCGGGCGGTGGGTGACAAGAAGGAAGCTGAGAATACAGCCCCCACGGTCTTCCCCCAGGTCGACCTACCCACACTGGCCCCTAAATGCAGTCAGACGGAGGACAGGGGCAGTGACCTGTGGGGCCTCAGGATGAGGACAGAGACCCACCTCCCACCCAGTCCCGCCCACCCAGGGCAGACAAGTGGGAAAAGCAAAGATGTGACCCCACTTGGGTTATCCAAGGCTACGCAAGGGAAGGCCCCCTGGCTGGGCTGGACACACAAGGGGATGGGGGTCCATGAAGCAGGGGCACCTGCCCAGCAGCCTGGCCTCAGAGGCCTCCAAAGGCACACCTGGCCGCCATCGAGGAGAGGGCTTGGGGGCCCGGCCAGGAGAGAGGCCCCCCGGCTGCACGGGCAGGCCCTTCTCACACGCTCGAGTCCCGGCTGCTCACAGCGCTCCCAGGTGTGGGGGGTCGGGCGACCAGCACCCCAGTGCTCCTCTCTGAAGCACAGATGCCCCGTCGGCTTGAATGGAGTGACTTGGAACTCACCCAGCCTTTCCTGGCCTCAGTTTCCCCACCACTGAAGTGGGGTCTCCCAGTGAGGAATTTCAGGGACCCCGGTAAGGGTGGCTGCCTTTTCCCACCTACCAGGGCCTGGAGACCAGGCCCCCGAGGATCCTGCGTGTGGCGGGGGCTCTTGAAGGACCCCCGAGGGCCTTTCCCGAGCAGACACACAGCCCCAACAGGGTGGTTTGGGGCCTTTTCTGTGGCTCACCCTCCCTCTGAGGGACCCCAAAACTCCAGACCCTGGACTGGAAAATCCTCATCCACAGAGGCGCCCCCTCTCCGGGCACAGACCCTCAGGCCCTGAGACCTGCATCAAGGCGAGGGGTGGGCACAGGGCTGCCAGCAGCTCGGCCACACTGCTCCCTGCCCCCCACCGGGCGAAGGGCCCATCGGGACTGAGGGGCGGTGCCCAGGCCCACAGGGGCCATCACTGCACCCAGGGTCCGCCCCCATCCGGCTAGAGCAGGGGCAGGAGCCTCCAGGGGCCTCGGGGCTGGGAGAAGGGGTCCCAGTGGTTTCTGTGGGGCTGGCCCACACCTCGGGGTCCCGGGCCCTCCCGAGGCCTGAGTCCAGAAGGCTGCAGCCCCCTGAAGAGCTTCTGGAGAAGCTCACGGGCTGAGGGAGGAGCAGCCACGGCTCCTCACCCAGAGCCTGCCCGCAGAGGGCGGGGCAGGAGGGGAACCTGGCCTGAGGCCCACGCAGCCTGGAGGCCCCAGGGCAGCTGCCTCCCTCCCACCTCTGACAGCAGCTGCTCCCAGGGGCCCACTGGGACCCTTTCACCTTCCGGAAACTGGGCTTCTTGGCAAAGGGCAAAAGAAAGGTGGCCCGGAGGGCTTGGCGCTGCCCCAGACCCAGGACTGGTTCGCAGCCAACCCTGCCACCCTGGGGCTGGTCCCTCGCTCCCACCCCTGGCTTCCCCGGGCCCAACAGCCCAACAGCGCCAGGCCAGGAGGAGGAGCTTGAACTTCATTTAATTAGTGAATCCACAAACCAAAGCAGGAGTCTCTCCATCAGCCAGAGCTGGGCAAGGGAGCAGGGTACCCGGGCAACCACACCCCGGGGGCAGAGGCCTCTGGAGCCAGGCTGGGCACGGGGACAGTGGGGAGCTCCAGGGCCCGGGCTGGGTGACGGACGGGCCGTGAGCAACACCCGCAGGACAGGCGTGTCACCCTGGGGAGAGCCCACGCGGAGCCGGCCCTCAGGGTGCTTCTCCCCCAGGCCCCGCTGGGCCCACTTCACTGACGGGGACACTGAGGCCTGAAGCAGATCTGTCCTTGGACTTCAGTGCCTCACCCAACATGGCAGCGGCCCCCTCCTGCCGGCCCCTGGGTTACCCTCCCTGAGTTTGCCTCTGCCCCCGCCTGTGAGCTGGGAGCAAGGGCAGTTCAGGGAAGCTGGTGCCTGGCAGAGGGGTCCAGGAGGGGCCAGGATGCCTCCAAAGAAGGGGCCAGTACCCCCAAAACCCCCTGGAGTGCAAGCACAGCCGGCCTGCCTGTACTGACTCAGGGTAGCTGGAAAAAGAAATGATAGAACACAGACCCCTGCCTCAGGCAGCACAGAGCGGGACCCAGGACCCCCACACGCCTGCTTCTGGTGTGAACACTGCAATTTTAGGAGGCAGCTGGCACCGAGGACTGGTCCTTCAGGCCCCGGCAGGGAGCAGCCACTCAGGGCCAGGGACGGGGCCTCACAGAGGGGCCATTCGTGCCCAGCTGCTGGGCTAAGGGTGGGCTGACATATACCAGAGGTTACCTCGGGCCAGGACCTGCGTGACCAGAGCCGGTCCCACCCGGAGCCCCCTTGGCCCCAGGCAGATGGGGAGGGAGGGGGGTGGGATGGTCACTGGTGAGGGGACACAGGGCTCCTCCCAGGAGGAGCCGCTCATCTGAGCAAGGCCTGCCTGGGAGCACCGGAGCCAGAGCCACCGTGGGGGGCCAGTGGGGGCCGACGCTTGCCGTGCCATGGGAGCCCCTGCCCCTGGGACTCTCGGGTTGGCCGCCCACCTGCCGGGCCTGGGGATGGCACTCGGGGCACCTCCCAGGGACTCGGCCCCCCCGGGACAGCCTCTGCGCAAGCAGCCCGGCACTTCCCTCCCAGGGTCGCTGTGCCCGTCCCACAGAGGGTCTGTCAACACATGCCCCAGTCACACTCCCAGAGACACGCCCCTCTCATCCCAGGTGGGCACGGGTCCGGTGGAGGCAGTTTCCCAGAATCCGCCCTTCCCTCCTGTCCCAAAACGCCTTCACACAAAATGGCCGAGCTGGCCTGGTCCGGTGGGATGGGAGCGGGTGCCTGCCGGTTCAGAGGCCAGGCGGACCACACGGCCTCACAGGCGGACTTGCACCAACACCACTCGAAGGCCCGGTGCACACCATGCCAGCCGCGGCTACGGGCCCTGCGCAGGGAGCCAGAAGTTCCGGGAACCCCGGGCCTGGGGAGACTCGCAGCCTCTCCCGGGGCCTGGCAGTAGGCCCCAGGCAGCCGAGCCCCTCTCCCTGGGCACCCGCTCTGCCCAGGAGGGGTCCGGAGTCCCAGTAAGGAGCGGGCAGCAGGCACACGCTTGCTCTGCAGCCAGCAGCTGCAGAGGGGGGTCAGGGCTGCGTGCTGGGGGGAGGAGAGGGGAGTCAGGGATGCAGGTGGGGCTGGGCCGGGTGGGCACCAGAGCACAGGAGTCAACTGTCCTCAGCCTCGGGCTGTGGGTGGGCGGCCATGGGAGGACCCCTCCCCATTTCAGGAAGTCAGGAGCCTGCCCAGATGAAGTGAACAGCTTTGGGGACTGGGCAGGATAGGCCAGCCCTTCCCCCATCATTTGCTTCTTCGCAGGGAATTCCAGCCCAGGGGGACCCCCAGGAGTCCAGAGGCAGAGGCAGGACAGGCAGCGCCGCCCTCCCTCCCCACTGGCCCTTTGTTCGGCCCAGTGTCCTGGGGAGGAGCCCCTCAAGCTGCGGAGGGACGCCTGGGGCTCTGCTCATCCCGTCCTGGGGGATGGGGGCTGATGCAAGCCGGGCAGGCCGCGGTGGGTGGGGGGGAGCCTGGGGAGGGCGGGGGACGGGCGCCCCCGCCCGACCTGAAGCCCGCACCCCGGAACTCCTTCCTGCCTGATCTCTCCAATCTTCGCCCTTCCCTCTCTCCAGGGGACACGGTACCTGCTGGCCGGGGCGCGCGGGGTCAGGCGCGGGGCGCAGGGCGCGGACACTTACACGTAGGCGTGGTAGATGAAGGCCCACCCGCGCGGCCGCTCCAGCACGTTGTAGAGGAAATTCTGCAGCTTGCGGTAGAAGGCGTTGCGCTTCGGGGGCTTCCCGGCGCCCGCGCCGCCCGCGCGCGGCTTGCTAAGGATGCTGCCGCGCTTGGGGGCCTCAGAGCCGGCGATGAGCAGCGCGCCGTCCCGGGTGGAGTCGGGCGCGCCGGGGTCCAGCCCCACGAAGCCCACCTTGAGCTTCTTCTCCCCGCTCGGGCCGGGGTACACGCCGCCGTTGCGCGATTTCTGCACCATGGTGCCGGCGGCGCCCGGCGACCGGGACGCGGGATCAGCGGGGACGACGCGCGGGGGGCGGCGCGGGCTCGAGCCCAGGCCCTCGGCCCGAAAGCCGCATGGCCGAGGCGGCAGCAGCGGCTCCGCGCTCCTACCGTCCGGGGTCTCGCGCAGGGACGCGGCGGCTACCTCGCCCCGCCCGCCGCCTCGCCTCGCCCCGCCCTCCGCCTCGCCTCGCCCCGCCCCCCGTTAACCCCTGCGGCGCCGCACCAGCCGCGGGAGAGAGGGGAGGGGCGGGAAGCGAGAGGAGGCAGGACTGGCTGAGCCAGGCTTCGCTGTCACTGTGCTGGTGGGCCCCTTCCGGTTGCCAGGCAATGTGCGCTCTGAGGAGCGCCTTGGTCACCTCTAAGGTGGGCAGGACCAGGCCAGCACTCGCCTGAGGAGCCAGAGTGGCCCAAGCAGCCCTGGACTGGTCACCTCCAAGCGGGGAGAGGGGCGGACCTTGCCAGGCTCTGGTTTATAGGGTCTGGCGCATGCGGATCTTCTCCGATGGGCCTCTAGGTGGACCCGGCCTGGCCTGTACCCCCACCCTGCCCCTTGGGTGTGCAGGGAAGCGTCGGAGAGGAGTCTCTAAGAGGTGGCCTGAGCCGGGCCCAGAGGAGGGGTCCTAGAAGAGGCAGGGAGAACCCCCAGCCCCCTGCACCCTCGCAGGCAGTGGGGCCCAGTAATCAGTGATGGGGCCTGGAAGACTGACCCCTGGGAGCGCACACTTTGTCTGCAGACCCCCGGGGGGCCTGTGGTCAGGACCAGGCAAGGAGGAGACAGCCCAGGGTGAGACCAGGGCCTGAGACCAGCGGGGACGCTGTTGCCACAGGCGAGGACCAAAGAAGGCAGGCTCTGGACACAGGGCAGTGAGTAGAGGTGGCCGTGCCCAGTTGGGGGGCTCAGGGTGTCCTGGCCGGTCCCTCTGGAACCTGCCGCTGGGAGGCCACGGGCACTTCCTCCCCGGCCCCTGAGCACTCGACTCGAGCAGTGCCCGGGCAGGCCCCCGCGGAGCCCCCTTCCACCTGGGAGGGAGGCGCTGCCTCCGACCGCAAACAGCCCCCCCACGCCCGCCCAGCACCCTGGGGTCCACCCAGGGAAAGGCTTGTTCAGCAGCTGGTCACTGGGCTCCTCACACAGGTCTCCAGAGAGAGCAGAGTGCACACTGTGCTCCTTGTCACTCGGCAGAACACGGAATGGCGGAGGCAGCCGCAGCACCCATCTGTGAGTCATCCAGAGCGTTGGGGACTGATTGCCACTCGTGCCGTGCACACCCTGTGCACACGGGCGTGTCCCGGGGCCGCACGCCCTCCCCCACCTCCCACTCCTCGTCAACAACCACGGCCGGCTCCCCAGCCGAGCCCAGGCCCAGGAAGGGGCTCCAGCCAGGCCCACCCAGGGCAGGCACCAGGGCCTGGACGGCAACAGGAAAGAAGGGGCGCCCTGCATTCCCCCGGCACAGCTGGACCCGCAGGGGTGGCCTCTGGCGACCCTTGCCCTTAGGAAAACTGGACACAGAGGTTGCAATTCCGACATGCCGACTCCAGAAGGGGACACTACCGCCGTCTGTTAAGGAGGAGCTCCAGTCCCCTCCAGGAGAATCCCCCCTCTGGGCCTCTGATGTGAGAGGGAGGGGCCCATGAAGGACGGTGATGCGGCTGCTTGTGGAGGCGGGGGTGGAGGGGGCGGCCCCTCCAGCCAGAAGACCCACAGCCGGACTGGCAGGGAACCCGAGGGACCCTCTGCGCTCTCGTCTGCACAGGCGCTTCCGAGGTTCCGGAAGGCACACCCCACACCGAGGCTTGAACATCCGCTTCCTCTGTTGCCATGTCCCTCCGATGAGCTGGCTCACTGGTCATTTGTGTTCTCAGTTTGGTGTCAGGCTCCGCACATGCCCCCCTGCGGCCCAGGCGCACCGAGTGGCGAACACCCTCGGCTGCGGTGAGTCCAACGCCAGCGACAGGAGCGCAGGGATTGAAAAATAGATGGAGAAGCTTTCAGGCTCAAGCCCTCTTTGCCAAGACAGCAGAGGAGCCGGAGAGGAGCGGAGAAATTCAGCTGCACCGGGTGCTCGGGAGGCCGGCTCGGCCACCGCCAAGCGGAGCACTGTCCCGTCAGCACTCCTCACTGAGCACTGTCCCCAGGCCCCCAGAGCTGCCTCCTCTGTCCCCTTCACTGGCCACACCGAGCAGCAGGGACTCGTGGGTGAGCTGACAGGACTGATGGGGGCCACTGTCCAGCACCAGCGCTGAGGTCTCAGGAGTCCGGCCCCTCCCTGGTGGGAGCTCACCTGGCCGGCCTGTCCCCTGCCCCGTACGAGTCCTGTCTTCTCACTGCCGTGTCCCACAGAGCCCCACACAAACGGGGCTCATGCTGGGGGGTCAGCAGATGTCTCACAGCCACTGGTGGCAGGAGCCAGACCCCCGGGGGGACCTGCAGAGGAGGCGGCACAGGTCAGGAGCAGGCTCTGCACCCCCTGGAAACCCGCATCTCCTGGTCTCCTGCCAACCCTGGGCTCCTGACTCTACAGTCTTGGCCCTAATATGGGGCTGGGCGGGGCGGTGAGTCCCACATGCGAGGGGTGAGGCCAGTCCCCGGGCGGCCGTGGAGGTGGACGGACTCCAAGACCCTGTGTGTGTGGGGCCCTTTGGGATGGCCCCGGTCTGCTCGCGGGGCTCATAGAAGGTGCTTCTGTCCAGGCGTTCGCCCACCCTGGAGTTCTGGGGGGCGGCAACACCACCCCCTCTGCCCAGTGGAAAGGGGAGCGGGCTCCTTCCCCATCCCCCCATCCCCCATCTCTGGCCTCAGCAGAAAACAGATGATCCCAGCAGAGGCCCGGAGGGAAAACTCCGCCAGCCTGGAAAACAGACTAATTTGGGGAAATGAGCAAGGACAGGTCCTCCATCACTCGGCCTGGGCCGGAGCTCTGCGGTCCTCCTGCTCTTTCTGGGGCACCAGGACGTGCCGATGCAGGCGGTGGGTTCCAGCCCCCCACACACCCCGCCCCCGCAGGAGTTTTCTGCCATCAGGAGACAGGGCTGCATTTACCCAGCTCCCCGGGGAGCAGGGAGTGAGGAAGAGACTTAACATGCGAAAGCATTGATTTTTTAAAAAGCATCTTACACCAAACTCAATAAAATTTAATTTATAGTTTTTTTCCCAAGGATCGGAGCTCCCCACCAGTGTCCAGCCCCTGGCAGGCCAGCTGATGGCACCACGGGGCTGCCCGGTGCTCTCCGTGTGAGAGTCCCGCCCTGCCTCCCAGGGTGCACGGCCGTGGGGGACGGAGACAGGCCCGACGCCCGGGGGACGGAAGTCCGTCTGCAGGGTCTGGGCCTCACAGGGGTCCCCCACCCTGAGGTCCTGTGTCCCTCACTCCGAGGTCCACCTTCAGGGAGCAAGGGCCGTGTCTGGGAGGCTGTGCGCTTTGTCATTTCTGGTCCCTCCCTCCCCTCCCCACACTGTGGGCAAAGGAGGACTCTGAGGATTGTCCCCGTTCAGTGACAGACACAGCAGGAGGAACAGACAGGCCCAGGGCCCAGCCAGGCGCCGGGTGCCGAGGTTGGCCCAGGATCCCTGCCCACCGGCGCTCGCACGCACTTGGACACCCCACGTGCTCTCCTCCGGCTGACTCCTCTCGTGGGGTCCAGCCTGCGGCTCCCAGACCAGCCCATCCACCTGCCGCCCAAAGCCCTCAGCCCCACCCGGCACCTGTGTGAAGACCTCCAGGAGCCTAATTCGGCAAAGGGGGGACAGAGTGTCCCTCCGCCCGGAATGCTGTGCCCTCCCTCCGTCGAGCTGGGAGGCCAGTGCATCGTCCCAGGGAGGCCCTGCTTGTGGGTCCCCCCTCAGCTCGGGCCCCTCGACACCGTCTGACGCCGTCTGATTTGTTTGCTCGCCGCCTGCAGGGAGCTCTCCGGGGAGGGCCGTGCAGACCCCCGCAGCCCTGCATGTGCTCTCACCCCAGCCCCACCCATCGACCTTCCTTGACTGAGTGAGCAGTCACTTTGCCCTCGGACAGGCGTCGCTTGGAGCCAGCAGCAGCATGTGTGCCCAGTGCCCCCTGGGGCCAGCGCGTCTTGGGGCTGCCGGGAGACTCTGGGAGGACGTGGGCAGCTGCAGCTCCGTGCTGCAGAGACGGGCTCGCTGCCAGCAAGTGGCCAGCCGCCATGCCCACCCACAGGCCGCCGGCATCTGGGCTCTGGCTGCCTGTCCACCGGCCCGGGCTCGCCCGAGCGCCTTGCCCGCTTGGCCAGATGTCCAGCAGGCTTGAGACAGAGCTGGCCAGTCTGGGGCAGGGCCTGTGGGTGCTCAGAGTCCCCGCTGCCACCCACCCCTCTCCCAGGACAAGGTCACCACACGAAGCCAGGAGGGGGACAGGAAGGCCAGGCCATCTGACAAACCATCCCCAGGTCAGTCCACGGAGCTCACTGCCGGCAAAGATGGGCCCCACCCATGGCCCTCGGGGGGGCAGCGGGGTGCTGGCAGCAGAGTGTGGACACAGGTGCCCCGTGGGGTCTCCAAGGCGCCCCCCACCTCGAGCAGCTCAGGTAACCTCACAGAGAGCTCCCACCTGTCAGGGCCACCTGGCGCCAAACCCAGAGGACCCTGCTGGGCAGCCAAACCAGCGGGCGGACGGGAGTCCAGGAAGTGGCTGGGATCCAGCAGCCTCAGGTCCTGGCTTAGAAGCACCTTCTTCCTCCATTTTTACAGACCCTCCCTCAGGCTGTGCTGAAAGGGAACCACTCCTCCCCTCCCCTCGCACGCTGACCACACCCCCTCCGTGTCCCAATCTCTCTCACCCGGAGACACCTGGCGAGGCCTGGAGGCAGTTTTGGCTGTCGCGGTGGGGGCAGGTGGAGGCCTCCTTTACTGCGCAGGAGACTACCTGTCCCTGTGTGTCCACAGTGCTGAGGCTAGGACAGAGGTTTCTCTTTAAATGCAGCTATTTCTGGCAAATCAGCCATTTACACCGTAGCATGAAATAGTGCAAAGGGATTTTCTCCCCGAAGCTCAGGAGAACAGCTAAGCCTCGGGACAAGGACTTTTCCGGGAAGAAGGCAGGAGACAGGTACGCGCACAGGCCCCCGTGAGAGGG